GACTTTATTAATCAGCCATGCTGATCTTTAAAGTCTTCTGACCTATATAAGCTATGTAAAAATCTTTATAATCATGATTGCAAGACTGTAGTGAAGGAACTGAAGTTCTTGTTCACTGTAATAGCACTGTAATGCCAAAATGAGAAAGCTGTACAGATTCACCATCTCTTTTGTTGATTCCATTTACCACGATAGTSACTACTACTGAAGTGTAAATTCGGTCACTTTTATCAAATACCTCCCTTAGATTTCAGAAATATGCACCATCATTAGCCGCAAACAGAGCTGTTKACAATCCTTTTCTACAAAGCAATGCAAATGCTTGTTTTTGAGCATTCTTTGGCACTTCGGGAACGACAAAACACCACACCACGTATCCTCTGTGAACGTTCCATTTACTTCTATGGCAAGTGTATAAATGTCACCATGTCACTAGCCTATTCACTAATACTTACATGGCTATAAACAAAATACCATTGAGGGCAGCCTAAAGAGAATTACCTTTTACGCAGATGAATTTACATCCAATTGGATGTAAATTTATGTTGACTTGGAACCAACTAGGAATTACAGAAATGTTTGTTTTATCTCCCTGTGCTAGCGGCTACAATAAACAACAGAGGCATACACATCAATGAAAAAGCAGAATATAATATGATAACAACCAAGCATGTAGCAAATTTCTCAAGGCATAATGCAAATAGACATCATTTCAAGCATGGCTGAGGGACAAAATACAGTGCCTTTTACAAAATGCTGATATGTGTTTTTTCCTGTACCCTAGGGAATGATCTTCTTTCACCAAAACATGGATAGCAAAGAGATTAGGGAACTAAACTAAACAGAATTTACAGAAAGCAGTCCAAGCCATATCTCAGCCAAACTACATCAGGAAATCTATACCCGACTCACCCCTGCTTGCTTCCTTACCCATTCCCAGAGCACAGTACCTGCAGGAAGGACAACACCACTGATGAGTTCCCAACACAGACAGCAACTTTTCCTAAGAAAACCTCTCTGCTCAGCTTCAGATGGAGTCTGCCAACTTGTGGGATTCAGATTCAGGTCATCACTCAAACTGAACTATTTTCTCTCTTTCTTTCTTCAGGCACCAATCAAGATAATTCAATCCCATCCAGGATGAGGAAATACAATCCATACCAAGTTTTTAAGACATGTAATTAAACATGTGTTTAAACTTGCACTTGCCTCTGGGAGGTATTTTATTCTGTTACAAAGCACATTTCGTGTGTGCTAGATACTTAGATCAGCAGCCTGTGATTGTTCTTTAACCATTTCAACACACTCATCTCTCACCATTTCTGGGTGTTTACAGAAGCTGAGTCGAGTCATCTTCTCTCTGCTCTACATCTGCTCTCTTGGACCTTTACCCATTTCCTTCAAGGGACTGGTTCTCAGGGTGTGAGTCCCAGAATTCCTACATAACAATTTTCGATTATTCCTTTTATGGGCAGAGAAGTGCACTGAGGAAACTAGGAAAGTTAGGTTAAAAAAGCGGTTTTAAAATTTGTTTGGTAAATGTTTATTTGCTTTATTAAAACAGCCTATTATAATCTTTATTTTCAAACAAACTATCCTAAAAGTTCTTCATCTCTTCCAGATTTCTGGTAAAGTTTTACTCCAAAGATAGGAAAACTTACATGTATGTGTCTTTCGTAATCATAACAAACATCTGCAGTAAAACTGCACTTGACTAGAGCCATTTTATTTCAGTTCTTCAGGATGACTCATTTTTACTGATGGAACAAAGATACAGAAGAAACATTAAGAGTCATTGAACTTGTTTCTGTTGCTCACTAATTGCAGACATACTTCTTSCTTCATCGGTGAGCAGCTGACAAAATTTCCAACAGGATCATGATGATTTGTGTCATGAAATCTTATCTTCCACACAAGTTAGAAGTCAGCTCGAGTACCTTCGTTTTTTTTGAGCTATGATATGCAGTAATTTCACAACCTTATTCTGATTGTCATTACGAAAAGGCAATGTATTTAAAACCGTACGTATTAAGGTAGCTATCATGTGGTATCTACATACTACCTCATCACTAACATGCAGATTTTCCACTGCTCACCACCACTTACCTTAAGACTTGAGACTTAATTGTCTCCATTGAGTTTGTTTTATTGTAAATAGCAGACCAATCAATTTAAAAGTATACCTCAGAAAAGCAATCCCCCTTCCACTTCTGCTATCTGAAAGAGTTTTAAAGCTCTGATAAAATAATAACCTCAACAGACATTAACATAATCCATATGTTTGGAGAGCAATTTGATATCTAKCCACTGGGAAGAATTCCACTGGAGAACCTCTCTTCCTTACTATATAAAAATCACATTAAAAGCTAGTTGTGTAACTGTAAGCCTGCCAGGTCCAACATATATTTTTTATATATACACATTTATACACACACTAGCCTAGAATAAGTTCAGCTGATGCTCAGCTGTTAAGAACCTAGAGTTAGAAAATTGAGAACACGCTTCACAATTGAGATCAGAGCTCAGCTATGGCAGGGCTGACCAGTAGGGAAGAAGTTTTTGTATAGCAGTAAAAATCTTGCCTAAAAATGTAGAGGCACATMAGACAATTTTCTTAAATATAAACACTTTGTTAGAAGTTACAAATTCTATCCCATACTCACTCCATTTTTTTCACCATCCAAGCTGTGCTACACAACTACTGGTAGCACAGTGCTGTACACYACATTACTGAAACGATACTGAGGTGGAGGTGGCAATGGAGGTRAGAGAGGCACACTCCATTTGGAAAAGTCACTTTTAACAGAGTTTTCCTATTAATTTACAGAACAAACCAATACAATACAGTATTGCCACAGCTGAGGTCATGGCAAGTAATGGCAAAGAGATGGAGAGGCTGAAGTGCTTTAAATCAGCTTCACTGCAAAAGCCAAATTATTGTGAAACATCATTCCTTAAKGTTTTTCTAGATTTCAAACAAAAAAAATATTTCTGCTATGTTTTAATGAAGCATTTTCTGTATGCTTATACTTTGAATTTTGCATGTCTACCATCTGACTTAAAAGAAACCTGACAACAGCAAAAGCAACTTGGCTTCTATTTACATTTTACAGTCTACCATCTACCTTGCCTAGGTAAAAAGAGGGCCAAGCACCATACAATGTGCGAGAATTCGGTGAAGACTTAAAGCTGCAGCATATAATTATATAGGCATTACATATAACTAAAAATAGGAAAAAACAATAGGAATTCTAATGTGTTGCTCAGTCATTTATGACGAGGAAGACTTGTGGCTTTTTTGATAAAAAATTGCATATATTTTGGTTTATTTTAAATTGTACAAGCTTTTTAGTCAAAATTACTAATGCGTTTCATATTGATGGGATGTTTTCTTTCCATCTTTTGTAAGCTTAAGTAGCTGAGAAAAAGTTGCCAGGAACTCCATAATGTTCACATACAGCAAAAGCCCTATTTCCATATATACAATCCACATTTTGGATAACTACATCACTTTAGAATACTAATATTACAGTGGGGGAAAAATAGTACATTCTTAGACAACTTTCACATTTTGAGTATCCGTAGTCTTAGATGAATCAGGAAAAGAAGAATATAATTGCTGGTCTTTGTTTTAAAGCAGAAAAACAAAGACGAATGCAAAAAGACTTGGACCAGTGAGAAAGGAAGTAGAAAGTGCCCAGAGTGCCTCTCTCCCTGGAGCACAGAATGGTAGTTTTTATTTCCTTCATATTTACTTTGTTCTGCCATTCTGTATTAATTTTAGAGAAGCAGATAAGGTTTCAGGTATCCTCTTTATACCCAATTCAGGTAAAACAGAATTCCCAACACCTATTATCATTGCTGGGAGACTGAACCGAGGATTCTTCCCTTTTGGATTCCTTTTCATGAGCTTCAAATTTCTGGCCGACTATAAAACACTGTTATGTGACCARTTACACTTCTTCATACATACATACATCATCTTCCATAAAAAGGAAAAATAAATCAGAGTTTACTTAATGACTTCCCCATTTCATAACTTATATCCTAATTTAACCCTAAAATACAATGTATTATGCTAAAATGACAGCATTTATGCCTTTTTTTATGTCTTTTTTTAAAGACAGGATAGCACACAATACATAATGCCAGAGAACAAAATATTTGACAGTGTATATCTATCAATAAAAATCACTTAGAATTTATAAACAAAAAACGAATATAATATTTCCCAACTTTAGGGTCTATAACATTTTACACTTATCATTTGAACAAACGTACYCTGCTTTTAATAAGTAAAGTATACTCAAGACATGCAAATTTAGTAATAGCATTTGAGAAAACTCCATAATGTATAAAGGTACGTGGACAATCTATCATAAAGTTCTTCTACTCTTTAATGTCCTTAACATCAAGTACATCTATCCAGTGTCCTCATTTAAAAGATGCATATATCTAGTTTCTCATTTTTCAATAACTGTTTATTCAAGGAAAAGAATACAAGGCCTTACACAAGATCAAAGCCTTTACATGCATCCTAACTGAGGTTTGAGGGTTATATAAGGTCTTACTCAGCTCTTTTGTTTTGTGAAGTCTTTTGCCTCAGCTGAAAGTTTTACACTGTTCACCACGTCCTTTCAATAGTATGCAGTCCTGATCCTGCTGTCACTAATACCCACTCTTTGCACTGCAACCACATTTTCATAATCAAAACTATTGAGAAAACACCAAGACATAAGTGTTTCAAGGATCAGACACTGAAAAAATTGCAAACATCATGTCTCATCATGTCTCAACTCTGTATGATTTCGGTTTTGTAAAATAAAGAGATAGCAAAAGATGATATATAGGTTGAAACACACTTAAAAGGCACCACACCTCAGGTTGGCTTAAATATTTTAGCTTCACATAACTCTGCACAGGCCCTACAATTTACATGGCATTGCTCTTTACATCAATCAAAAGGTTAGAAATTTAAAGAAAAAAAAAATTCTTCTTACCAAACTTTTTCTTCTTCCACTATTCCCCTGGCACATTGATTTATTATGACAGGGTTACTCATGGTAAGTGCTGAGGTCTCAGAATTCATCTTTTTTTCTGAAAAGGAAGGAAAAAAAAAGAACACAGAAAACCGAGAGAAATTCAGTATCAAATATTAATGAGAATTTGTGTGTTTAATACACTAGAAAACTTAAAATATATAAGATAAGCAGCTTTAGCCCAAATTCAGCACGCTTTACTCACATAAGTAAATCTCATTTAAATCAATGGGATTAAGTGGATGAATACATTGAGCAGGATTWGGCAGTGTTGTGAACTCATTAGTTATGCCAAACCCAACACTGATTGTCTTTTGTTTACTTTTTTGAATAGATGCCAAAGTGGTTGATGTCAGCAAGTATGCATCCAGGGCTATGCACAGTGTCAGTAATGTTAATTCAGAGCAGCAGTCAGATTTAGGGTTGCTGTGGAACAATCCATACAACACCAGCAAGAAATTTTAGATTTCCAATATTTAAAGGTCTACAGAATCTTCTTGAGCATATTTTAAGAGTTTTAAGATCAGACTTCAGTTGATTTGCTGAAAACAACAACCAATTCATGGCTGAAATTACTCCAAAACAGCATAAACACATTCAAATGCTGGCAACAATTCCMAGGCTACATTGCTTCTAAGAGGTCTATATAGCCAAGTGTGTTTCAACTCAGTGATTAGTATAAGAACAATAAATGTCTCCAGAAGATAAAGGCACATTCATTTTTACCTGTTGCCTTGTCATAATCAGCATAAAGATTTGTTAGATTAAGAGTCAATAGATTCAAAATGGTTATATATGCCATGCTTACCTACAAAATAAGCATGTGTAAAGAACTCTTTTGAGTTTTAAATTCTTTAGAGATCTGCTACTCTATAACAATGCAGAAAGAGGGAAGTTGTTCTTAAAGATACTCCAAATGAATGGTGCAAAAGTCCATACTCAAACATTTTCTACAAAATTCCCCTCTTTTAGGGAGCAATTTCCTGCCAGATCAAACAACAATTTCTTTTGGGTAATCTATTTCTACTCCACGCTGGGAAAGTCCACATGCCTCAGTGATCATGTGAGTTAGACTAGCAATAGTTTCACCTCCTCTTATGGTCACTCACACTGGTAAAAGTAAAAGTTTAAGAAAAGATTAAAGATAGTCCATTAACTTTCAAAGCCGGGAGCTAAAAGATCTAGGTTACAAAACCAAAAAGTAGCCCGTCCATTAAAAAGCCTTCCGCTGTTCACTTGTTAATTACAGCAGTACAAGCATTTAATATGTGACTGAAAAGAACATCTTGAGCACGCCTTCCCCACGCACCCTTCAGAACAACTAAGCAAAAGCTGCACCCACAGCTCTGCACTGAGGCTTTCACACTGAATCTCGAGTCCAACCAGAGAACTGAAAAAGTTGCTCAATTATCACCTTTTCTGTTAGTTATCAATTGTAAAAGGTCCACACATATTTTGTGTACACAAAGAAATTACATCAAATGCAGCAAAAAAAACAAATTCTGCTCTTAGATGTTCTCCAAGGGAAATAAGGTAAATAACAGAGAAAAAGTACATCTCCAAAAATCTCTCTTCTCACCTACTTTACATTTTCAACTTAACATCTAAAAACATCAGTAGCATCATCCTTGGTCTCCTCCACATGGTCCTCAGGTCCTCAGAAAAATCTGCCTCACGTGTTTCTGGAGGCATCAAGAGGCCAGCACTTATCCATTCTAATAGCAAGGATCTCATTAACCAGCTTCAGGGAAATGTCTGTCTGCTGGATGAAGCAAGAGACCTTTTGACAAACTGGATACATAGAGCGAGACTCTTTTGAGATACACAGCTCACGCTCTTGCAGCTTCCAAGGCCAGATTTCCAACAACACAAGACGTCTGCCAAGTCAGCCGTAAACTAAACAAATGTTCTCCTCGCTTAAGCATGTGGAGGAGACAGGCCTAAGAGCCAGCTGACACCGTGTTAGACGAGCATCCTTCCACAGCTGCCAGTAACAAAAGGGAAAAAAATCAAGGAGCATAGGACAGCATGGCCTTCTCCCATTCCTTCACACTACAGGAGCAATTGCACTTGCTCAAAATGGAAATGGGTCATGCAAAGCACTCCTTCACYTTACTGTGGGACCCCTGCCTGCTCCAGCTGAAACCCTGGGTGTCTTGATGCTTTCTGGCTCTATCTGTCACTCTTTCCAATCATGCTCCTTCCTTAGTGACTTCTGTGATGGAGAAGCTCATGACAGTCTCAGCACCAAGCACGCAGTCAGCACTCACACCCAGCGGCGCRTCTCACTCTCACTTGGTGATTAGACAGCACAAGCTTCCGGAAAACCATTAGGGCTTCCCTATTGCCATTTTATTCCTAAAAACAGGTCTACACAAGCCCTAGCTCACTGTTTAACAGAAACAAGAGGAAATTAAAACTGGTTCCCATATCACTGACAACTTTTAAGGAAATTAAAACTGGTTCCCATATCACTGACAACTTTTAAGGAATTGTCCAAAATCCAGAAAGCTAAAGTGACAAAGGAAAGGCAGATATCTGTCTGCACTTTTTCCAGGGCCACAGATACAGAATATTGCCTCTACTTCTGTCTTGAAAGTCATTTCAAAGGGAAATTCTCAACCTGCAGGTTCTATCCCAACTCACTGTCACAGATGCTATTAGGTTCTTCCTTCACAATATACAATAGCTACATGGTATGATAACGTTTAGTGTCTCAAGAAATACTGTTTAAAGTCAACCTACCAAAATTAACAGTAAAATCTAGCAAAGTAGATTTTCGTTTGGATGAAACAGTTTTACTACATATTAGGCCAGAATATTAACACTATTCCAATAAATTACCTCCAACAGTAACATCTTAAAAAATAAAACTGTTTCAGAAGCAATGGAACAATGTTCAGAAAAACAAGCTACTCACAGGTGCCTCTTTCAATATCACCACCAAACTCCTGTTTGAACTTGAAGTCTACAGCATTGGCCCTATACGTGATGAAACTTGAAGGAAAAAAATAAACCTGTCATCTTTTCCCTTAATAACTTTAAGTCAGATGCCAAGGCAAGTCAGTGAAAGTTAATTGAAGACAGGCTGCTGGGGACGCATTCTGTTCCTCAGCCTCTCTTTGTATACTGAACCCTGACTGTTCCAGTTAAGGCACATGCACTTTAATGAGGTGCTGTCCTATAGATCCCTCTCTGATTTAATAGGAGGAAGTGGGCAAAAGGCAACTTCAGGACAAAAACATAAGAAAACAATGTCAGATACTTTATTTATAGCACCTATGTTAACRCTACTGCCACTATGTATCTGAGGCAACAGACTTGAAGAAACATCCATGTTGTTCTCGATGATACACTAGAAGTTTAGCGTACTAAAGTCTTCTCTGACCACAGACTATAAAACAAGAATACTCAGTAGCAAGCACTCATAACTTGCAAGAGTTGTGGTATCTCCACAAAGAAAGAAAGAGTTTCAAGTAAAATCTTTGATTATCTAATGCATCTATGTGCCTTAGACTCTTACACAGCATAACTGGAGAGAAAAGCCCAGGAGGTCTACACTATTGGCTTAAGAACTAAAAAGCATGTTACGCTTAAAGAGAGTTCTTTCATTTATATTAAATTTAAGTCTGGAAGTCGCATACTTCCCTTCAAATGTGGGGGGAGGGGGGCAGGGGGGGAGAGAGGGGTAGCGTGACAACATGCACAGAATAGTACTACAGGACCATTTGAACAGGACACGTAGGTTAAATGAAAGCACTGAAGCCAAGGACTCAAACCAGAATGTGATTCACAGCCAGCAAAACAATGAAAGAGTTAATCTATCTTCAAGATGTTTCTCTACACAAGTACCATTTTCATTTGCTTTTGTTGCAAACTGTATCTTTGATCCTCAGGCCAAAAGTCTTCTTTTTGCCTTTCCCTTCACTCCCTCTGCACATCTCCATACACATAAGATAATCACCATGGGGGCAGTGAAAAATTCAAGTCTTCAACAGATACTCTCTGCAGTTAGAGTAAAATTAGCCAATATCTTCAGATAAAACATGTTCCCACAGCTCTTTACCTTCACAATAATGTTGAAATCATATGCTGTTAAACTTACTTTCAAAAAAAAAAMYTTKRAAAAAAAATAAAGTTAGAAAAAAATATTGTGCTCTAAGATTCAGGGTAGAAGTAATAATTATTTTTTAAACAAAAGAAGAATAGCATCAATAAAGTAACATACAGCTACTGTAAAGAAAAAACAGTGAGTATTGTCAGCACTCTCTCAAGCAGGAGTCCTTAGGTTCACAAAAAAATGACCAGTAGATGGTCATTTTTACAGTTTACAGTTGACATTTTTACAGTTTACATCATAGCATATTTCAAATTAGAGAGCTGACTTTCCAATTCCTAACTACACGCACAATGGTATACAATTCCAAGTGAACACAAATATTTACTCCTGTATTGCTTTCTGCAAAAAATCTCATTTCCACACACATTTACAGGCATAAACCACTACATTTTGATAGCATTCAKTTTTTAACCATAAGGTTGCCTTAGGCAAATAGCTTGTTAATGGGCAGGTTTAAGTTTCCATACAAGTTCATTATTTAACTACATAACAATAAATGCTGCAAACAATCTTCTATCAAAGTTGCTTGTTTGAGGTTTTTTGACACAGTGTTTGCCAAGCACCTTCATACTGCTGAAGGAGTTGGCCTGAACTCTGAGTGCCTTGCGTCCATAATACTTCAGACAAAAAAGAGTGAGAACTCAAGAACCTCGTGATGGATTTTTCTGCTGAGTATCAGTACAAGTAGACTGATACTCAAACCAAGCTGAGAAACTTCATATTACTAATCACTTCAGTTCAAGTCTAGCACATCAAAAATTTGGTTTCACAATGGCTATAGTTCTTTCAAATGCATTACATGGAAGTCAAAACCTCTATCTCAAGCCATTACTTATCTTCTTAAAATCTTTAAAAAGATATTTCATGCTTTAAAGAATGAGGTTATGAAAACATTTTAATACATTCTTTTGAACATGTTTTTTCTCCTCCCCTTGAGA